TTGTACAACACTTGCAACTCACATTATGTTTCAGTTTCACCACTTTCAGTTACTTCCAACCAGCACCGTACAACAGAAGAGGGCCACGACACCATTGAAATAACAAGAAGGGGAATAAAAGAATAGAAGGGCAATGAGGTGTGTTGCTGTCTGTACGAGAAGCCTACGAGTCTCACTGAAGTGTGCTGCTACCTGTGAAAGTATGCGGAGGCTAAGACAGCTTGATGAAATGTGAAGGGTGGGTTGTTTGAAGAGCAAATTAGGTAGGTAGTGCAATGTAGTTGGTTTTCGTGAGTATAGCCATCATTTTCTTGAGTACGTCAATATTTCAGTGTACAATATCTTATTTCTTTGAACACGATTATCGAAAGATATGTAGACATTAACATATAAACATGGCAGATATCGTGAGATCATTGGTATATATAATTATATATGCTGTACGAGTTGTACCATCTTCGCGACGAGATTTGGTTGTTATACAGGTGTATTTTTGTTGATGAGATTTCGTTGTTATACAAGGTATTTTTTTTTGTTTGCCATCAATATAGAATGTGTAATACCCTGTATAATAGCTTTATACCGGATTTCTGAAGCGTGACATAACCTCAAAGAGTTTTGTCTAGTATTGGTATGTTCGCGGTATTTCGCTATAGGCTTCAACCTCGGCTTCAACTAGGTATTTCTTGCAATATCTTTACACCATTCCAGCTGTATGGAAAGTCTACCCGCGAGTCCTCCTGTATCTATAACTCAAACACCCTACATATCGACCCTGTTATTGACGCATTTTGTTATTCACATTCAAAAAAGTACCTCTAGATCTAGGGAATAATCTGATTTACTCTACATGGGCTCTTATGGGGCTTTCCGCCGTGCATCGTGTAATTTCAGTAGAGTCTAGGGAAAAAGGACTTGAAATTTACCGGTGAAGCGATGAATCATAGACCAAAAGTTTCGCGTGATATCTGTGCTATTTTGATTCGATCGCCATTTTGTTTCAATAGCCATTTTGATTAAAATTGGTTGTCATCTGTCATATGTCATACGTCAGGTCATGAGTGCCCTATGTGAGTTTGTATTGCTATTATTGCTGTATATCAAACGGATACTCTATCATACGTATGTTTTGCTGAGTGTACCTGTGAGACGCCCTATTTCTTATCGCTATCGCTAATTCAAACATCCAGTATATTAAATTATTAGGTAGCGGTACTTGCAGGTCATCTAGTCACGTCGTGTCATCAATCCTTTGTTAACTGTCAAATGTAATACGTCAGCTGTCTAATCCCGCAAAAGTGGGTGAGGCGTCCAGTATATTTTTTCTTTGATTGCTATCCAACTCAAACGTCCTGTATATATCATGTTATAGCGGGTAGCCTTTATATGTAGGTCGGAGAGGTATAACGCCTTTTGGGTTCACCCTATATTTTTTTCCCAACTATTACCCAACTCAAGTACCCTGTATATAGCCGTTGACGCCCTGTATATATCATGTTATAGCGGGTAGCCTTTTATATGTAGGTCGGAGAGGTATAACGCCTTTTTTTTTGGGTTCACCCTATATTTTTTTTCCCAACTATTACCCAACTCAAACACCCTGTATATAACCGTTGTTGAAAAATGGAATAAAATGCGCGCCGTTATCTCTAGAACGAATCTATCGCAGTCCAACCGATGATGACGACCCGTTCGCTGGGCCGCGAGTAGCTAGCCGAGTCAGGCCGGCCTGTGATTGGTCGGCCGAGTCACGTGGTTTGGAGAAAAGTGGAGGGGAGGGGCTGGACTGGAGTAACGCGACCACTACTTTATTGACCATTCCATGACGTAGTGATATTCTCTTCGGCGCACGCTCGAGGTTGGAATGCAGTAGGTAGTCGCAGTCAACATACAAAGGACGCATGGAGTGGCCCAATAATCAAATATCAATTGCTAACACAGAAAATTGTGGTGTGTACTGTTGAATGTGAATTTGAGTTTTATCAGTTTGTGCTGGAGCATAGGTATTACACGAAGTGGCTGGTGAGTTTCTATCATATTGTTCTTCAATTTCTAAGACTCAATAGCGAGTCTGCATGGTGAATAAATCATACTAGCATTTATTTCTCCATGAAGTGTTATTACTAGTTGAATTCCTATATATTTCTTACGTCTGACTCCAATTCTCACCAATTTGATAACTATAAGGCATGCTGATATATTTTCTCTAAAGCTTGTTCTATAGACTCCCAAGATGGAGGGAACACTGGGAGGGTGGGGTTTCGGAAATTTTGTTGAAAGATTCCGCAAGATGAAATAGTTTATGCATGTTAACTATTAACAAATATTAGTTGCTATTTAATCAATTTCATATTCAAGCCTTGTTTCTTCAAACAAGGATTTTGTGGATTTGCATTCATTATCATAAAACCATTCACTTATATGACTTCGCACCTGTCATCTCGTCATAATTAATCTGTACAATAATCATCCTATGTACAGGAAAATTTACCTTGCGGAATCTTCCAACAAAATTTTCAAGAAGTCTATAGAACAAGCTTCAGAAAAAATGTATCATCATGCTTACTAGTTATCAAATCGGTAAGAATTGTAGTCAGACGATAAGAAATATATAGGAATTGAATTAATAATAACACTTGATGGAGAAATGAATGCTAGTATGATTTATTCATCATGCAGACTCGCTATTGAGTTTTAGAAATTGAACAAAGAACAATATTTGATAAAAACTCACCAGCCACTTCGTGTAATATATGCTTCAGCACGAACCGATGAAACTCAAATTCACATTCAACAGTACACACCACACTTTTTTGTCTCATCAATTAATATTTGATTATTAGATTACTCTTGGCGTCCTTCGCAGTCTATATAACATGTTGACTATGACTACCTACTGCATTTCAACCTCGAGCATGCGCTGAAGAGAATATCACTACGTTATGAGAAATTCAATAATTTTATAACAAATAATTTGTTTCTCCCAAGAACCATTTCTCATTCTCTGAGTAATCAAACTGTGGAGAAAATTTGTTACCTGTTAATAAATGGTAATTCGGGAGTACGATTTCAGAAAGTTTGGATATAACGAACAGGTTCGTGACAAACTCATGGAAGTTACTCCTAAAAACATATGTTAATATTGAGAGAATTAGCTCCTTTGTTTTCGGTCAACGATTCATTTACAAGTTGAATGGTTGTATTTAAGAAGGTGAATTGATGACAAGATTATGGCGTTCATTCAACGAAGCATACTCGAACAAATCTATTTATTCATCATAACAATACCTTTTCCTCAGTGTGGGTCTGTTTGAGATTAAGTGGTTTCCCTTGTACAAATTGGGATCACTAGAAATCGATAGGAATAATGACCAATTATGGATTACCTATATTGCTTGATGAAGGTTTCACATGAAACCATATACAGGGTGATTAGCAATATGTGGCGCTTCGAGAGGTGATAGGGCGTCTCGAAAAAATGAAAGAGTTTCTTAGAACAAATGAGAAGAAGGCTTCGTTTGCGAAATACAGGGTGTTTCATCGAATTTCTAGGTAACCGCTAAACATAAATTCTTGATATTCTGGTACATATTTTGGTACCTGATGAGAATGATAGAATTGGTAGCATTAATCAGTCAATCTGACTCCTACTGACACCGTTAAGGGGTATTGATGTGTGATTTTTCAAAAAAGAAATTGGCAATGAAACTTTTCGGAATTTTATTCTAATTAATGGAAGAGGAAGCGATTTTGTGGAAGGAAGCACCAAATGTTGAAACTCGTGAAGATACATTGTTTTCGAGATGAACCGAATAACCAAATTCAACTCCTAAATTTGATGTAGATGTCCGACGATGTCGGATAGTCCATTCAAGACATATTTGACCATAATATATATCATTCTATCGTGGCACTATGCTGGTCACATGAACGACTGGATTTTGCCACCATGTAAAGCCATACTGGATGGACACGAAAAAAATCAATGAATATTTTCAACTCCAACACCCTGTATTTCGCAAACGAAGCCTTTTATCACTTTCGTTTATGAAAACGCCATTATTTTCTTGAGACACTCAGTTAACCTTTCAAAGTGAGTTCCACATATTACGAAATGCCCTGTATAAGTGATCATTTTGTTAAAAATCAGAGTTTGAATGATCGTTTGGCCTTCTTTCCTGATATTGAATAATTTCAATTGAAACTGAATTTTAAAAAATGAGTCACACACACGAACGGCAGCTCTTCGCCAGAGAGCAGATAAATGGATTCGAAATAGTTGCAGATAATTCAATTCCAAGTTCAGATGGCGCCACTCAATTAACAGAAACATTACTGGTACTTACTTGGACAATTGAGAAAACCAAATTCAAAAACATACCTGAAATTTTTGAAGCAAATGTCCTGGAATAGTAACACCATAATATCTTCTTGAATAGCACTGCTAGTACTAGTAGATGAACAAAACCGTATCAAGGATCAGACCTATTGATCAGCATAATCGACAAGGTTTATAGAGATCAATGTAGAGATGAAGAAATGCACAGTGGGTATGGGTGGGTCCTCTCCACTGGTTCAGTCCCTAACAAATAGAAATGTCTTGAAGACGCATATTCCATTGAAAAATCCACGTCTCTGAGACGTCAGATGTACATCTCTGAGACCTAAAATGTACGTCGTAAGTAATTACGTAGTGGATAATAATACGTCTCAAAGATATACTTTGGCTGATTTGATATCATAATCGACATACATTACAAAATGGTTTTCAACAATCAGAATAATTTAATTGTATTCAGAAGAATCAATTTATGTCACGTAATATCAGGAAATATGAGTTTTCTTAGTTTCTATAGAAATGGGGAGGAATATGAAACTTCCCTATCCACTTTTATGAACATATCCAGAAAATAGTCAATGGACTTCAGAGCTGTCTTCTGAATTATTGTTGACACTCTCCTCAAATTCATCCCTCAAAAATATTTTCTTATTCTTTCCAGAGTCATGGCAATACTATATGGAATTTTCATATTGATCGCTACATATGAAGATATCAGAAGGAGAAAAATAGAAAACGGTGAGTGGTAAAATTTGGATTATAATCGAAATCCGGATACATTGCCGAATGGACAAGTCGCCGAATTTTGGTCAATATGCCAAGAAACGCTGATTAGGAATTAGTTACCTCAAAATCCTAAACCAATTACATCTTTCACCCAATGTGTCTCAAAATAATCACTCTACCCCGCGATTTGCATGGTATATGCAAGAGGTGATACGCTGTTGCCTACAACCACAAAGAGACCAGAAAATTCTGCTGCTGAAGTGCGCATGGAGATGACGGAAAACGAATACGCAGTACCAAATCGGATATATCGACAGCTATTTGAAAACTTTGCCGAAAATGGTCATGATGTTCAACAAGCTGTTCGTACATTTTATCGAAAAAAGTGAAATTGCCGAATTAACTCTTTGTTAGTGAAACATTGAACCACTTTTTCTACGGCTATAACACAAAATTCTTTTTGTTTTTCAGTATTCGATACATCGATGAGGTACTGTTGTATGTCAACAACTTTCTTTCCGTAACTGATATCACAATGACTTCATTGTGTTATCATTCCAAAAAAATCTTATCGCTCATGAAATATCAAATTTCAAGCAATGACAGCTCTGTCTGATAGATGAGCATCACTTGGGAGGAAATCAGATGGCTACAAGACGAAGAAATGCTCGTTATACAATATACTATTTGGATTTTTCAGGTGCTTAGATAGCAGTCTACAGAATATTAGTTGCGTTTTATTTATCCGATTCCAGCACCGATTCCGGTTGCTTCTATTCATTCCGTCTCACTACAAGGAATGACTTGAATGACTTGAGTAGGAGATATTTAAGAAGAAATTTTTATGATTCTTTCGAGTAGGACATGTTTCATATCTTCATTTTCAGATAAAATGTATTTTCTTGATCTCAGAGAACTTTCTTCATCATCACCACAATCTTTGCTCCAAATATGCCTTAATTCATTTTCTTGATTCTCAACTCTATTGAAATTTCATCTATAATATGTGAATTCATCTCATGGACGGATTGCAAGTTCATGAAGCTTCCCATTTTATTTGTAAACGTCGGTTTGGTCCAGGGCCGTAGTCTATCCCCTCTCTCTCGACGCTGACGTCACACTAGTAGGTTGAGATTTCACATCAGTCCGTACTGATGCGTTCGTAATTGATAGGCTATAGCTCATTTACTATAAATTTTAGAAGCACACTCAATCGAGACGAAATGATTCCCAACAAATTCCTCAACTTTTGGTGAAAAAATGAATCCAATAGGATGAATCAATACCGAGTTATGGCGTTGTAACGAAATTCCATTTTATTGAAAATCAGGACATTGTACTACAGAATACTATTTTTTGCAAATTTGGAATTGGAATAAGATGGAACTAACTCAATATATCAAACAAAGATAATGAATCAATTGAATAGTGAAAACATTGTAGAGTTACCTACAATGAGTCCGAAAGAAATTAAATATAAAGAGCGCGTAAAAAATGGGCCCTTATACCTACCTACCCAAATTTCGATGTAATTCCTTGGACTGGTAAAGGGCGATATACTTTTTATTACTCATTTTATTTCTAAATAGCGTATGGTTCAGACCAACTGATATTGGTGTCTGAAAAATTCGAAACGCTATTTCTACAATGTAAGTCACAACATGAAGTTTTGGAGAATTCAGTAAAAATTTAAATCAATTTCCTTCTCAATTATTCCGAGAATCAATGTTGCAGTTGTGGGTCTTTTGATGGAATCAGCAGAACATTCTCTAAAACCATTGCAAATGATATGGAGAGATATAGTTCAGATTTCAATTTTTAGTTTGTGATTAAGATGATGTATTTATATATTTTTTGTTATTAGTGAATTTCATTTTGTGATATCTATCAATTTTTTTTATTTTGTTATGTTGATCATTTTTACAGTTTATTTGTTTGGTTTTGTTTGTGTATAAGGATGCAACGTTTTTTTTTTTCATTTTTTCCTTATTCATTTATATATCGTTGTTCTGGGTATTTTGTTATTCAGTAGTTATATTCATTTTTATTTCTCTCATTGTTGAGGTACATATTTTTTCAATTATTTTTGTTAGGTTGTGTTCATATGAACTCCACATATTTTGTTCTTTTTAATTTTGATAGTTTGCAAATATATTCAAATGAATTTTTTTTCATGAATTGAACGTTATCATTCAAATATATACTCTTCAGCAGAAAATAATTAATACCGAATAGGCGTTTTTGTGTAATAACACACTCGAGTGATAGGATTTCTAACGTCATCAAAGTGCGTCCTGATCATCTTTAGAGATAAACGCTGCTGAAACCCTTCGATATAAAGTGGATGTGTATTATACCGATTTGTAGGCAATCAAATTTCCTACAAAAAAGTCAGTGACATCATATATCCATAGTTGATAGGATTAGCATGGGAGGCGTCCGAACTTTTTGAACTATTCTGTAATGAACACCTGAATCATCGTTCTACTTGAATTGAAATATCGGTTTGTTGTAGGCTCTTGGGAATTTGAAAAAATACTCAGTCAATCTAGATACTATGCGAAATCTTTTCATGATTGAATCATTTCTGTGAATTGGATATTGGAATTTTGGTAGCTGTTTGAAAAAGGACAATTCTGAATGGCGTCAATTAATTTTGATATGTCATATTTCTGAAATTAATGATCGTAAATCAGTGGAATCTGATTTATCTTCTGGAAAATTCTTTTCTGTACATATTTGACCTCATGATATTTTTCGCTAACTGTGACCGTTTTCCCGAGGTGAATCAATAAAACGGGAAAGACAATTTCCACTGCGTTGATTTTGTCCCTACTAGTGTGACGTCACGAAAGCGATGCTCCGGCCCGGTAAGATAGAGTAGGCCCTGTTTGGTCCCACCACTGATACCAGAATGGAACAATTAAAACGCACCTATTGACGAGGTGTATTTCTGTGAGCATGGACGTAAGAGGTTATACAGGACTTACTAGCAAAGTATGATTTTTGAATCGATACACGTTTGCATTCAAGCCACTAGATGGGTCTACAGGCGAGATATTCTTCTGTTCCCTCCGGGCTCTGATTTTTATCATATATGGAGGTACTCTTTGTGAATCAGCTAGCCTAGTGCAATGGATGAGACTTGGCAAGCTGGAACAGTCTATCTTGCAAGCTGACAGTCACTTCACGAAACTTTTCTAGAATCTCTCCGTTTTGAGATTCCAGGTTCATGGTTCATCCGTGGATTTTTCTCATTTCTTACTCCGTATCCAAGATATAAATTCAATGAAAGATTGAACGCATTATCTGCTCGTGAATGAAATTTTTGAGAGAATCAAGATAAAATAGTACAAACCTTATGAAAATATTCCGAATCATTTTCATGTGATTATACATTAATTTATATAATTATATTCATGTATAAAAATTTTAAGAATTCCATCTTGTTTCTCTCAAAGGGTTCAGTCACAAGTTAGGGGTTGAAAAAGTAGTCTTCTCTTTCTTGCAGAAAGTTTATTTTTCGGAAATCATGCTTCCTAGGAAGAAGAACGAGTAAGATCAGATTGTTTAAGGGGTATTCAGTGTTCCTTTTTATCCCAAAGAATTTTCAAAGAAAATACTTATCGAATACGAAGCGAGAACAAAATCCTAAGGGTTATTTCGATTATTTCACAACCTTCAGGAAAATGTCCGAATACTTGCTTCGGCATAATAAACATTTCTGGCGGAGGTCCGAATAGCTGTTACGTCGTTGTTACCACTTACGGCGAAATGTTCAAATAGCCACTATCGGCAACTTGTCCACAGGCGTATTTTGGCCTGATAACCACTTTCGGCAAAGTGTCCACCGATCTATTTCCGCGTTTCGACCGAAAATTCGACGAAGTGACTTGCACTTTCAACCAATGATAACCAAAACTTGCACAATCTCCCATGCAGACTTTTCTTATCAACAGTTATGGCTCATGATATCGGAAATGGGAAGTAGATACTGATATAATCCGAAACGTCATGTCGTGAATGATAGGGCTGAAGAGGTGAGCCAAAATAATGTTAGTAGGTACCTACTTCATATAAAAAAACATTCTATCGCATTTCGACCGACTTCGGAAGTTTTTTGCGAATCTATTGAAAAGGCATGCTCATCATTACTTAACTCATCCATGGGTAGTAACAATGAATAAAATGCTGAGAAAATAATGATGTTATTGAAATGTGGGGGCATCACCCACGTATACTGTATTATTGCAGCTAAATGCCAATTCAGATTTCAGATGTTTATTGCACCTCTATATATATAGTATTGACAGCTACAGGGGTATTTCTTTATTAAGTGGTTTTTCAAAATTATATGAAAAGGCTACTATAGTCGATTTATGAGTTTTATAACCTCTAACGATGTACTGCCCAATGTTCAGTATGGTTTTAGAAAGGGCCGTAATACCCAAGGTGCCATAATCTCATTCCTCCTAAAAGCTGTTCAGAGTGTTGATGAAAAAAATTGCTCAGCAGGCCTATTCTTTGATTACAGTCGTGCATTTGACTTGGTCGATCATAATATATTGATAAACAAGCTGTATAACTATGGTGTCAGGGGGATACCTGGTTGTTGGCTCTCATTCTATTTGTCTGGACGATCGCAACAAGTTATACTCAAGTCTGGAGGTGCCAAGTATATTCCTGCATCCCGTGATGTGGCCAGGGGTGTTCCTCAAGGGGGTGTGCTAGGCCCTTCTCTTTTTATCACCTTCATTGCTGATATTCTTACGAAGGTCAATATAGGGTCCTCTGTCCTATTTGCGGATGATATGTCCACCTTATTGACCTCTGACTGTATGACCAACCTCAGGTCCAGTGTGGGGGAATGTGCTAGACAGGCTTTTGAATACAGCACTCGAAATAACCTAGTTCTCAATTTGTCGAAAACAGTGATGATGGTTTCTAGTACTAGAGACAATGATCAGTCCCTCTATGTTCATGAAAATAAACATACAATCAAACAGCTATCAACTACCAAATTCCTTGGAATCAATATTGATGAGAAGTTGTCATGGTCTTCACATATCGATTTTATTCTGAAGAAGCTTTGCTACCACAACTTTGTCATTTGGAAACTCTGGAAGCTGTGTCGATAGACATATCCTAATATCTTACTATTATGCCTATGTTTATCCTCTTTTAAGTTACGCAGTGGTGGTGTGGGGTAACTGCATTAGAGTTAAAGATATTTTACTGGCACAAAAAAAATTGTCAGGAGTATAGTTGGTAAACCCCCTCATCAGTCATGTCGGCCGTTGTTCCAGGAGCTACAACTGTTGACTATGACTTCAATTTATGTATTATTAGTGTGCAGTTTATGTCAAAAAACATATTGGAAATTTTCAGACTGTTGGCAATATGCAAAAATAGTCTTTGAGAGACTCCGACAAACTGGTTATTCCCCAGCATAGGTTAACCATGACTAATAATAGCTGTTACATAATGCCACTAAGGATTTATAATCACTTACCCATGAATGTAAGACAAATTGACAGCATTTACAAATTCAAAAGAGAGCTCAGGAGAATACTTATAAAAAACATATTTTATGGGCTAGATGAATTCTTTAGTCACTCCTTCTAGATATAATTTTTATACATTTTATCAATAATTTTATTTTTATATCTGTAGTTAGGATTAGGTAGTACATATCATTATTAGTTGTAGTTGTGTGTTGTCTTGTGTCATGTATGTGTAATTTTAAAGATTTTTTATGGCAAACCCAATGTCCTGTAAAGGTGACCAATATGGTGAATAAATGAATTGAATTGAATTGAATATAGGAATTCATGGTTTCAACTGGACGTGGCGCCAGCTCATTCAACTCAGGAAGTTTCCAGGAAACTTTACGAAATGTTTGAGGATCGTTGGTTTGGCCGTTTAGGTACGTGGTACGTGGTACGTTTTTTATGGGGTGTTTCAAAAGAAAGGGTGTAGTACTCCCCCAGATAGCACAAATTCCTTTTGAGGCCCTTCTGAGGCGTTCACAATCATGTCCTCAGGACGTCGAGAGCGAGCCTGAGGACATTCTCAAGACGTCCTCCTGTTACCATTCTCTACATACTAATAACGTCTCAGAACATCCCTATAAGATCTTTTGAGACAACCTCAGGACATCATGGTAACAACTTGAGGCGGTTTTTGATGATGTTTCAAGGAGGTTCAAGATTTATGGGAGAATATATTATTCGTATACAGAATGAGTCACTATAGTGTGTTCTCCTTCGATATTAGCCAAACCGTCAGATATATAAAATGAAAATTCAAGTACAACAGTAATAGGGTTTCATAAAAACAATCACCTAGAGTTGTTTTTATATCTATAGGGTGTTCGAATTCCAAGATATCGTTTGATGATTGGTTTTTTTAAATAGAACACCTTGTATATTATTGCATTTTTGAGTTTTCCCTGCAGAGTTGATTCCATCAATGCATCACACTTGGTGTCTAGTGGGAATTATTACAGAGATATAGGGTGTTGACAATTGAGATTCTTCAAATGAAGGATTTTTTGTGTGGAAACTATTCATTAATGGTCAAAACGGCTCACATGTTCCTGCCATAACTTTTGATAAGCTATCTACTGATATTTATTTGGAACAGATACAATAAGCTGATCAGTATTCTGAATGTTAACCCACCCTCTATTTGTTTCGATTGAATGTCAGTAGATAGTAAATCGAAAGTTTATAAGGATATGTGAGCCGTTTTGACCAATATTAAATAGTTTCCACAAAAAAAATCCTAAAATTGAAAAAACCTGGTTTTTGAACACCCTATATCTCTGTAATCATTCCCGCTAGACCCCAAGTGTGATGCATTGATGGAATCAGCTCTTCAGGGAGAACCTAAAAATGCAATAGTATACAGGGTGTCCCATTTGGAAAAAAACAATCATCAGTCAATATATCTTGGAATTCGAACACCCTATAGATATAGATGAAAACAATTTAATGTGAAAGTTCTCATGAAACCCTATTAATGTTGTACTTGAATTTTCTCTATTTATCTGATGGTTTGGCTAATATACAAGGATAACACAATATTGACTCACCTTGTATTATGCAAATGATGATTTCTTCAAAATAATATGGATCTCATGATATTTGCAAAATTTTCCTCTATTTATAATAGGTTCAAATGAAAAACCAAATGAAAAACTTACATTCTATTATTTATAACTTATTCTGAAAAATTTCAATTTCCTCTCCAAAGAAATGTATTTCAGCTTCTTGTTGAGCACTACTAGAAGTTATTGCCTATTGATAGTTATATTTCTCCATGTTGTTTTTGATTTCTGAACTCTGGACATTCCTGATGCAGAATAATCAACTGGAAGTTGAAGCCTTCATGCAATATTTTATAGATTCTGAAGAAGCAATCTTGGAATGAAAATATCATCAGGTTTATGTTTTGCATAATAACCTTCTGAAACAAACAATGTATTAATATATTTCATGTCCAGTACTTACTATCAATGATATGATTTATGTAGTTATAGGTACCAACCATTATTGAATCTACTGAAAGTTCAAGTCTGCATATGTACAATCTTTCATAATTTCCAAAGAAGCCAAAATATCTTGGAATAAAATATCTCTGCTCTGATGATATCATCATTTTGTGTTATCAATAACCTCCTGAAACAAATAATGTACCTATTAATATTTCATGTTTCAGTCCCTACTATATCAATGATTTGATTTAGGTACCTACCTTTATTGACTATACTGAAATTGCAAACATGCATATGCAATCTCACATAGATTTCGAAGGAGCCAAAATATCTTGGAATGAAACATCTCTGCTCTGATGACATCATCAATCTTGTGTTCTCAATAACTTCATCTAAAACAAATAATTAACTCGTAATTAACCTATTAACATTTCATGTCCAGTACCTACTATATCAATGATTTGATTCAGGTACCTACCTTTATTGAATTCATAGTTCAAGCTTCCATACAATATTTTATAGATTCCGAAGAAGCAAAGCTATCTTGGAATAAAACATGTTTGCTATGGTGATATCATCAAGTTTGTGTTCTCAATAACCTCCTGAAACAATAAATAATGTATATGAATGTATCAATATTTCATGTACGATACTATCAATGATTCTGTTTAGTATTTACTCACCATTGTTTCTTGCTACCTGAGAGAAATGTCATCAACAGAGATTATCATCCTTTTGTTATTGTTATCTTTTAATTCTGTGCATTAAGTTCTTCTCGCAATCATTTTGTGAAATAGAAATTTGATGAAGGAATTCAATGAATACTATAATAATTTTAATATAATCATTAATATATTATGATGTATCTTGAACAAATCATGACTATCATGAGACATAACCTCAATTCTAGTTCTTCTTTTTCTTCCTTTTGTCTTCGATGACACGTTATTTCATTAAATGTCATCTGAAGACGTCCGTAGGCACGAAATTCTTTACATTCTCAGGCTGTCACTGAAAGAACTCATTTAGGACAATTACAGCGCTAAATTTACGCCTGATGATGTTCTTAGGTTGTAGAAAATAGAACGTCCTCTCCAGGCGTTTGGCGACATATTGAGGATGACCTTAGGCGAGTGTGTGCTATCTGGGCCAGTGCCTACCAAAGAAGAACTGCGCCGGCGAATAGTGCGGTGTATTGAAGATTAGGATCCTCATGAAATTCAAAAGGCAACCACGAGTCGCGTACAAAAGCATATTTTGAAATGATTAGAATGTAATGGACAACATTTCTAGCATTTATTGTGAAAATGTGATATTTTGTTTATACTTTTGTTACTTTCGTTCCTCCTAATCCTGTTATTTTCTGTACTTTCACAGTGAATCTAGCTTTTCACCTAGATAGGCTAGATAAGCTGATTTTTGATAGAGTTGTTGGAAACTTTGAGCCATAGTTGATGAAATTATTTTGTAATCTTACAAACTTCCTCTTGTTCATTGTTGTCAATTCAGGATGCATTTGGTTGAATTTTCTGCAAGTTCTGGCAATGATTTGATCACATTGTCCGTGTATAATGAACAACCTCATAAGAACTTCGTTTGAATAATCGATATTTGCGTTCATTCTGGGAGAGTTTTTGAAACACTGTCAATAACAATTACTGAATTACTCATCAATGTCACCGAACTGTCATGAGTTTGATATTTCCATGGCTATCTAAAATTAACTTTTTCATAAAATCATATGTTTCACAAAAAGCGGCTTTATTGAGAAAACTTGATGATATAGGGATATGCTATATCATCTTGTAGCATTTTTATTCGTCTTTCAATTTATTGAATAAAAAAACAGTGGGTTCCATTTGAAAAAATGAACATTTGACCACTTGTATGAACAACGGATGTAATAATAATTTCAGTACGCCCTGTATGACATGGAGACGACTTCTCGGTGTAAATTGAATATATCAAGCCTGTTCAAACCACCACTGAAAGATCAACTCTTTATGATTCGAGAGCCCTGATTTACATAAGTTCAATTAGGGATATGTTTTGGATCATATTTAACACAAATTATTTTTTATCTCGAAAACCGATAGAGATAGGTATAGGAATTGATTAACAAAAGGGTATTGTAATGAAAAAGCAATTCTGAAAATGTGTTAGTATACGGGGTGTTCCATTTAAAAAAAATGAAGTTGCTAGGACTTCTTGATAGAAACGGCAACGTCGCAATTTCGAAAATATTTTAGATCGATAAAACCAGGATCCAAAACATAATTGATAATCTGAAAGAATACAGGAGATATAATTGCAGAACTCATTGAAGATTAGCGCTCAATGAATTATCAAAAAATTTCAAATAGTTGATGGAGAATATTTGTTATTTTTTCGTGATCGCGAGTCATCGCATGAAAAGTCGATACACAAGATCTTGTGCTGAGAACAAGACAATCTATTGATAGATATATAAATTTTCAGCCAGTCTCAGATTCTATGAACAATTCTCACTGTATCAGAGTTGGAAGAAGAGGGTTGTGCCATTGAAGAATGATGACTCAGGAAAACTGAAGTCCATACAGGGAATAAGGACTTATAACTTACTGTTGGTCCTTTTTGCACATACGAAGATGGGTTATATCTTTCACTATATAGAAAATCCCAACTGGGTAGAAGAGGTGAGAATCATCGAGATCGAGAAAAACAATACCAATATGATTCTTGGATAACAAGAGCCTTCAGTTCACCATATCTCAGTGGAACATTGCGAACAATTCGAATTATATCATCTTGAAATTCGGAAGTTGAGCCCGAACGCGATATTTCGTTTGTCATTGCAGGTGAAGCCTCTTTGGAATCTGCTATTCATATTAGATATGTTCATTGCATATACATTCACACTGATTTCTTCATGGCTACTCACCAATCAAGTACTCGAAAGTTTCCAGAAACATGGACATTTTTCGCTGAAGCACGCAGGAATAATGATCGTCAACCGATATTTCAGGTAAAAACGGTGAAAACATAATCATGCTCGAGATTATTATGTTTGCTTATATTCACGCTTCCTAGTTAACACTGGCAGAATTTATTTTGCAGGACAGCAGTTACCTATATAACATGTATCGCTATTTTCAATACTTCTTTAGCGAGGAACATTAGTGGACCTCTTAATATCGACATAATTTTTCCGCATGAAGAAGCTTGTGGAAAGGGTTGGTTTCACCATTTACTTTTCATGCATAATTTTCAATATTTAGGAGATATGGTGAGTATATATTTCAAGATGGATACCTGTCTATACACAGTGATACAGAAATATATAGCCAAAACTAGAAATTGCGGAATATGGGTGATAATGATATATAGATTTCAAGAGATATCTTATTCCTCATCAAACAGTCTCATCCCGGATTGCGAACCCTCCACGTTTAACAAGTTGAAGTGTACAAAATTGATCCTGAATGAACACTATCCACGATATCCTTTATATAGATGAACTCACACTGTCGGGCCCATATGATTTCCAAATTCAGCATTCAAATCGATGATGCAGACACGAACTTGGATTCTAATAATAATGTGTTGTTTCTCGAACGTTATGGAAATAGTTCGACTCCTATTTTCAATAAAATAGTTTCATGGTTTTTGATAATGATCGTGGTGAAATTTTTTTTCCGTTTGTTGCTTTCTGTTATGAACAATCTAAATGAGATGTTTTTATCCAGCTCAATTACCAGACTGGATTTGAACACTGACAAGGTACCCGAAACTTATTTCGATCGAATTTCATCTATTTGATATATCTCGAATGAGAAATCCGAGCTATCTTTCAAAACTTTCACCTAATATTGGACTCTAGGATCAATAATTTCAACTCTGCAAATTTCATAAATCTATATATTGGAAGGCTACTTTTTGATTACGTTGCTTATAGCAACCGATGATTATCGCGATAATTTTGCTCGTCTCCATCAACTAAATGGAATAAATAAGTAATAATTATCCTGTCAAAAATGAAGCGCCTCAATATCTATTGATAAAAGTCACTCAGTTTCATTCGAAACAATTTAGACGTGATATCAGATGTTATATGATTGGAAACTAATCAATGTTTCCAATCGCCCTGAAATTTTAGTAATAAACCTAAGTAACTAACAAGTTGAATCAACTTCTCTTGTGAAAATATAGTGCGTGATATTGAACTAAACCCATCGGAAATATGTTTTTCGAGTTCCAAACTATGTGAACATGTAATATCAGATACGAATTGATGTTTTCAATGTTCTTGATAATATGGTTGGAAACGGATTGAAGCTTCAATGTTCCTGAGATTTGAGTATTCAACCTTAGTTACTTGAGAAAGAAAACAACTTCTATTGTGGAAAATAAATTTTGTCATACTTGACTAAACTCATCGGAATTATGTTCTTTTCTTAAGTTTCATTTGAAACTATGTAGAAATTGTAATATCAGATGTTATGAATGTAAATGAATTGATGTGTCTAATGTTCCTCCTATATTTCTCTCCTTCTTGATCATGTTCTTTCCAAGCAAACAAGCCTTCTCAATATACCTCACCTTCTTGCAAAAATTTCATCTGATTTTGGTAATAACAGTTTGGTAACGCATCATTCCTCCGACCCGAGCAATCTCTGAAATTTCTATTGAAAATCTTATATATCCACTTCACCATTACCATCAGAAATGGGTCTTCTTGAATCATCCTAAAATCTAACATGAATATTGTTCTTCACAAATAGCTTCTTCAGGAGCTTTGTCAAATGAAACATCTAGAGATGATATATCAAATTACCTTGCGAATGCAATCAGCATTCTGATAACTGGAATTGAAGACTTGGCGTGCACAAAGTTTATTGATTTTTGGTCCATAATATTTTTTAGCAATGTAAAAAGTTCATCCGAATCTTTCTTGAGCGAACCAGTAGGAAGAAACATTTTTTGCAATTCTAAAAGTATTTTTGTCAATCACAATATGAAATACTGCATTTTTCCTGTCTTTTTATAGGTACGTCTTGAGTGGTTTGTAGATACAAATGATTATACAAAATGTTGTATCTCGTTCGAAATAATGTATTCAAATGTTTCGTAGCAGATCGCTTTCGACTATACAGTCATCATCAGTGCATTATCATGTTGGTATTCGACTAAAGAAATTTGTTCGTATCGTTTTCAGCCTTCAGCCAGAATATCAATGAAACTGAACAGGACCAATGATATTTACATGAATGATTTTCTCGTCAACCTAGAGAGTAATATATCGCACTTTTACAAATTTTCAAATTTCAATTCAAAATTTTCCAAATTTCTTATGTCTCTTTTCAATAGCTATAAGTTGGTCACTATTATTATTCAATTTTCAGATTCAAATTCAACAAAATCTCTTATCGATTTTCTTCTAGAGTATTATCCAATTTTCCCTTTTAACTTTCTTCAATAGCTGAATGCTGATTACCAACTCACAAGTATGCACTGATATTCGAAAGTGCTCTGCTATAAAAATTAGAATTACTCATTCTGCACGAACATTTTGTACAATTATTTGATAAGCCATAGACGAGAAAATTCGGGTTTTATCTTTCCATACAATTTTTTTACGTTTCCAACTGATGGTCGAACTCTTTGATGTTTCTGATGAGCATTTATTTTATCCTCGTCGACAAAATTTTAACGAGGGTAGAATAAACTCTAATGTTATCACTGACTTCATTCAGTACTTCGTCTAACCAGTTCAGTCATCTTAGTGAAACCCTCAACACTGAGTGTACTTCAACCTATATCGAAAATATAACAGCCTAGTTACTTTAGCAATAAAGTTCAGCAATATTTTTTATTTTTTCCGTTACGCATTCTGCGATAACAATTTTCCAGTATGTTTATTGAGGATACTCAAGGAAGAAATGTACTAATCGAAACAGATTTTCCAGATGTCCAGGGCCGGACAGGGGCCAGCAATATTTTATAACTTTCTTATTTAGGATCCTGCCACTTACATATTTCCGTATGTCATTCGGAAAGACAAAACGAAGAAATGTATAGTATCAGAATATTTAATCCGGGCGTCCAGGGCCGGACAGGGGCCAGCAATATTTTATAACTTCCTTATTAGGGATCCTGCCACTTACATATTTCCGTATGTCATTCGGAAAGACAGAACGAAGAAATGTACAGTATCAGAATATTTAATCCGGGCGTCCAGGGCCGGACAGGGGCCAGCAATATTTTATAACTTTCTTATTAGGGATCCTGCCACTTACATATTTCAGTATGTTATTCAGAAAGACAGAACGAAGAAATGTACAGTATCAGAATATTTAATCCGGGCGTCCAGGGCCGGACAGGGGCCAGCAATATTTTATAACTTTCTTATTAGGGATCCTGCCACTAACATATTTCAGTATGTCATTCAGAAAGACAAAACGAGGAATTGTACAGTATCAGAATATTTAATCCGGGCGTCCAGGGCCGGACAGGGGCCAGCAATATTTTATAACTTTCTTATTAGGGATCCTGCCACTTACATATTTCAGTATGTCATTCAGAAAGACAAAACGAGGAAATTTACAGTATCAGAATATTTAATCCGGGCGTCCAGGGCCGGACAGGTGCCAGCAATATTTTATAACTTTCTTATGAGGGATCCTGCCACTTACATATTTCAGTTTTTTATTCAGAAAGACAAAACGAAGAAATGTACAGTATCAGAATATTTGATCCGGGCGTCCAGGGCCGGACAGGGGCCAGCAATATTTTATAACTCTCTTATTAGGGATCCTGCCACATACATATTTCAGTATGTCATTCAGAAAGACGAAACGAGGAAATGTACAGTATCAGAATATTCAATCCGTGCGTCCAGGGCCGGACAGGGGCCAGCAATATTTTATAACTTTCTTATTAGGGATCCTGCCACTCACATATTTCCGTATGTCATTCGGAAAGACAAAAAGAAGAAATGTACAGTATCAGAATATTCAATCCGGGCGTCCAGGGCCGGACAGGGGCCAGCAATATTTTATAACTTCCTTATTAGAGATCCTGCCACTTACATATTTCAGTATGTTATTCAGAAAGACAAAACGAAGAAATGTACAGTATCACAATATTTAATCCGGGCGTCCAGGGCCGGACAGGGGCCAGCAATATTTTATTACTCCCTTATTAGGGATCCTGCCACTTACATATTTCAGTATGTTATTCAGAAAGACAAAACGAAGAAATGTACAGTATCACAATATTTAATCCGGGCGTCCAGGGCCGGAAAGACAAAACGAAGAAATGTACAGTATCAGAATATTTAATCCGGGCGTCCAGGGCCGGACAGGGGCCAGCAATAATTTATAACTCCCTTATTAGGGATCCTGCCACTTACATATTTCAGTATGTCATTCGAAAAGACGAAACGAAGAAATGTACAGTATCAGAATATTTAATCCGGGCGTCCAGGGCCGGACAGGGGCCAGCAATATTTTATAACTTTCTTATTAGGGATCCTGCCACTTACATATTTCAGTATGTTATTCAGAAAGACAAAACGAAGAAATGCACAGTATCAGAATATTTAATCTGGGCGTGCAGGGCCGGACAGGGGCCAGCAAT